CGACGCGGGGTGGGATGTCTGTGACAAGTTCCAACAACACTTTCCCTCCCCCCCCCTATTGTCAGGGCTCTGTCTGTCCCTCTGAAGTGCTTCGCAACATTCACATTGTGGATACTCCCGGGGTGCTGGCCGGGAACAAGCAGACGGTGGCTCGCGGGTAATCGAGGGAGGGAAGGAGGACGTGGGGGAGGGAGGGTTGCATGGACCAAAAGACAGGCAGTGTGTCCCTGATTTTCGTTCCCGTGATTCCCCGACGCAATGTTGCCTTGCATTGGCTTGTACGCTCTCTCACCCCATCCTTCCGTCCGGGGTCCTTTTCCATCATTTCCCACGTCATCCCTCTTCAGGTACGACTTCACCAACGTGTGCGGCTGGTTCGCAGAGCGGGCCGACCTCATCCTTCTTCTCTTTGATGCGCACAAGCTCGATATATCCGATGAATTCAAGGTAGATCACGCCCCTTCCTCCCCATCCCTCCCCCCCTTCCCTCCCCCGCCTTTCTTGTGCTATCGAGCGTTCGTTGCGAGACAGCTTCGAGGAGATGGCATGGTGGGCCCCAACTGTAAAGCGTCTCTTTTTTAAACCCTCCCGCATTTCCTTCGTCCCTCCCTTTCTGCTATCCTTCCCTGTCTTATTGCTGCGACCGTAGGAGGTGATCGAGAAGCTTCGGGGTCACGACGACAAAATCCGCTGTGTCCTGAATAAGGCCGACCAGGTCGGTCGAGGACTGGGAGGGAGGAGGGCGGGAAGCATGGACGGAATTCCTCTTTATCTCACTTGGATTTGGATTTAAATTTAAAATCTAAATTTGAATTTTTGCTGCCAAATCTTTAGGTGGACCGGCAGAAGCTCATGCGGGTATATGGCGCGCTCATGTGGAGTATGGGCAAGGTACTTGACAGACCAAGAAGGGGATTGAAAGGGAGGCAAAGAGGGAGGGCGGTGGCACGAGGTTGGAATCTTGGGAAGAGTCTTGGCAAAAGAAGACTTTCAGGAGCTTGTCTCCGGAGAGATGTGCCGTAATAAAATGCGGGCTGCTCCATGCCCTCCCTTCCTCCCTTCCCCCCTTCCTCCTTTCCTTTCACCCCTCGCCAGGTGATGAAAACGCCCGAGGTCCTGCGTGTCTACGTGGGCTCGTTCTGGGACCACCCCTTGATGTACAGGGAGAACAAGGAGCTCTTCGAGATGGAGGAGAAAGACTTGATGAAG